CATCTCAAATAAAATGCAGTAATACACCGCAAATCCTGCACTTAAAAAGCACTAATGAAATTTTTGGTGCACTTGGGTAAATAATATGATAATATTCCGTTTGAGTGGTTCCAACGTTTACCATGAAATTACACCTTAAAGTATAGTTTGTAAACATTTATATTCAGGGTAAACTTAAAAAACGCTACTTACGGTAAGTTTTCAATAAATAAACACCGAAATCACCAGCCCAAACAATAACACACACGATTGTCGTGACGTATTTTTTAAGTTAATTAGTTTTTTAAATGACAGACCCAGGCATTAAAAACTTTATTGTTTGCTAGAGTAGTTACCGAAATAGCAATTAGTATTAGTTCTTTTACCTGTTATAACTTCGATATCCGTTAAATCGGTATAAAATCATCATCGGCACCTCTAGGTGTGGTATGCGTCTACGGCTGCATGTATCGCGTGAGCGACTAAACAAAAATAATTAATTAACAGTCATGTTAATAAACACGTTGGAATTTATCATGAGGAAAATCCAAAGGAAGTCAAAAGTTTCAATTGTTGCTCGTATCAACTACCTTTTTTTTTTTTTTTTTTTCCGCTAGTTTTATTTATTGTAGGTGTACTAAGAACGGATTTTTCGAAATTCAACCCCTGAAAGTGTGAAAAAAAGAGTAAAAATGTTCATATGAATAATCTCCAAGTTTAAAAGTTTGCCACCCTTAGCGGTGAAATAGTTTCTTGAAATTTAAATGGGACTACTACAGAAGTACCCCCTTTCCAACAAAAAAGAATCATCAAATTCGATTCACAAATAAACAGTCCTCCTTTTTTAAGTCTATGTAAATGATTAACATATTTTTATAAAACTAGCCCTAAATATAAATGAAATGGGATATTAAAATTTGTATGGGTATTTTTGTAACGTGGGGTGCGACTTGCTTCAAACTTGGTTCGCATACTTTCAATATGTAATAAACGACACCTTGAAACGCGTTTTTTAAAACAACCCTTAAATACAGGTGAGTTACGGTGTCGAAGTATTTAAAATAAAACCTTTCCTATAGAGAATCGTATCTCTTATTTACTTTTTCAAACTGGAATATTTTTCAATTGTGTCTTAGTAGAATGCATGTAAAAATTTAGCAAGGTGTAATTTTAATGTGTCACGGTTCAACTGCTAGTTATCCATAATAGTACTATTACTATCATAAATTTAAAACGAGGAAACTTCCTCAAAAGTTGTTTGCTTATCCTCGTGGAACTAATTCTACTTTAGTTACAAAATACCACTCGTTATGATAAAATCAATAATGCAAGCGATTTCTACTAACTTGATAAATATATAACAACGCATATAGTGTAATTTTTTGTTTAAGAATTCATTTGCAAATCTAAAGTGATAATTTAAGTATATTAATGGACAAATGTTTGCCAAGGAACAACTGCCAAAAATTCGAATAATTGGGTGATGTTTATGGTGACAAAGAAGTAGATATGTGGGTTAAATTGCTGCCTTTTATAACGACTGTTGTGTTTGTTTGTAAAGCCTGCGAATTCGATATCACACTTGCACCATTTATATGTAAGTAACCTTAGAAAAGTCACGACACATGTCATTTGTGTACTTTTCGTTCTGATTTTGTGTGCAATAAAATTTATTTGTATTGTATTATCTCGATACCAAGCGACGGGATGGTGACAAGCATCACGTTTGTGTAATGTTTCATATAAATATTATTCACATACCATATTTACTTCTTATAAACTCATTTAATACAGTAATTTATTTCACATAACGAACGTTTCATATAAACCATATTATATAATTTAATTTTTTATAACGATCACTTACATGACACTCATTTTTGATAACTATCATACATTATAAACCACAGTTAACATAACGTCATTTTATCTAAATTTCATTTCACCTACAACTATAATTATTTCCGAAAAACAATATCCCTAATACTAGTATTATATCAATTTACCATATTATCCGCTCACGCGATGCGCTCCTCCTGCCGCAAAATGGCGGCTATTGGCTTTCGCAAATTAGAAAAGCATTCAGTTTAAATACAAGTTTTTATAAATAAAAATTATTATTCTGCATTGCTAAATAAATACCCTCCGTACTACCAACAAAAACATCTCAAATAAAATGCAGTAATACACCGCAAATCCTGCACATAGCCGCTCACGCGATACATGCAGCCGTAGACGCATACCGCACCTAGAGGTGCCGGTGATGATTTTATACCGATTTATCAGATATCGAAGTTATAACAGGTAAAAGAACTAATATTAATTGCTATTTCGGTAACTACTCTAGCAAACCATAAAATTTTTAATGCCTGGGTCTGTCATTTAAAAAAAATAAACAACTTCAAAATACGTCACGACAATCGTGTGTGTTATTGTTTGGGCTGGTGATTTCGGTGTTTATTTATTGAAAACATACCGTAAGTAGCGATTTTTAAGTTTACCCTGAATATAAACGTTTATAAACTATACTTTAAGGAGTAATTTCATGGTAAACGTTGGAACCACTCAAACAGAATATTATCATATTTATCCAAGTACACCAACCAACCAACCAAGTACGGCTGCATGTATCGCGTGAGCCGTTAAAATTTGACCTCAAAACATGATCGGAATTCAAATTACACCAAATACATATTACAACAAATTCTTTTTTTGCACTCGACGGCCGCTGCCGCGACACGCTCGCTCCATTCGCTCGGCTCGTGCTGCTTTTGTATGTTCTAACCTAACCTAACTTATTAAATGGGAGCCGCTACCAAGATTTGACCTATGTAAAATACGTTTGTTTTATTTTGTCGAAATGACAATTCAGCATTGTAAACTACATTAAGAAAAGCACTCTCCCTCCGCACCTCCGACTTTTAAAATACGCTCCTAGTATCGAATTGATAACCTCCATGGCGAGTCGGGTTTAAATTTATTATTTATGAAAACCACGTAAAAATTATTAAAATTTACAATATATGAAGTGATTGTTATCCGCTCACACGATTCATGCGTCTCTGAAAGCATACTACACCTAGAGGTGCCGGTGATGATTTTATACCGATTTATCGGATATCGAAGTTATAACAGGTAAAAGAACTAATACTAATTGCTATTTCGGTAACTACTCTAGCAAACCATAAAGTTTTTAATGCCTGGGTCTGTCATTTAAAAAATACGTCATGACAATCGTGTGTGTTATTGTTTGGGCTGGTGATGTCGGTGTTTATTTATTTAAAACATACCGTAAGTTGCGTTTTTTAAGTTTACCCTGAATATAAATGTTTATAAACTATACTTTAAGGAGTAATTTCATGGTAAACATTAGAACCACTCAAACGGAATATTATCATATTTACCCAAGTACACCAAAAATTTCATTAGTGCTTTTTAAGTGCAGGATTTGCGGTTTATTACTGCATTTTATTTGAGATGTTTTTGTTGTAGTACGGAGGGTATTTATTTAGCAATGCAGAATAATAATTTTTATTTTTAAAAACTTGTATTTAAACTGAATCCTTTTCTAATTTGCAAAACCAAATAGCCGCCACTTGGCGGTAGGATGAGCGCATCGCGTGAGCGGTTATATAAAATGAGCTTTAAGAAAGAATTATAAAGAATTATATGAAGTTAAATGAACTGTATTTCTTTAGAAATTAGTATATTTAATTTTCCTAGTGCACTTGGGTGCTCTTCCAAGCATCACGCATTATCACAATTTGATAAGTCCCATGTGCCTGCCTATTTCACCAGCACTCTTACCCTTCAAAACTGGAACGCACTAATGCGCACATTACTGCTTGGCGACGGAAATAAGTAACTTGGCAGTACCTCATTGGACGAACTCTTTCAAAAGTAGCTCTACAGCTGTATATAATATGGTACTCATCATTGTTACTGTCGTGGTTGTTATTCTTCTTTTTCAGATGATATGGATACAATAATTGATCAACAAAATTATAAAGATTATGATGATTATTCAATAGGCATGCAACTTTTAACGGTAGTGATAAACTGTGGAGAAGAAGAACTTTACCCGTTTTATGCAAAAGTTAATGCTAAACATATTTATATGCTTGTATGCACGAATAGTTCTTATAAAGGATATGATCCAAGTTATTATAAAGATACAGTATTGGATGAATATAACATCAGTTCAAACGTGAAGTCTCTAATTATTGCATTTGGAAGTGTAAGCGTAAGTGAAAATTTTGTGTGATGTTTCATTCGGACTTAGCTTATAAGTAGATTCAACAACAACTACGCTGGTAAAGAAACACTTACTTCTGATACGAAAGGCATTGCTGGAGTATTTAAAAGAAGAATAATTGATAGTTCAAGTTTTTCGACATTTAGTGTTGTTTGGCTACCACATGTATTTTTTTTATATTTATTATTGATAGCATGCCAACTACCGAATAAAAGCTAATAATTATAATGGCGATAATGGTTTTGTTAGATATAAATTAAAGCATACAATAACTAACAGCACGAAAGGTAGGGTCGAGGTAGATGAGTAGAAAATACAGTATGTCGATGAGTAATATTACTCGGGTCAGTTAATAAGCTTTAAAAACTGGCCAGACAAGCAAATCGGTCATCGCATTGAGAACACCTGGAAGAGCCACTGGTCCTTGAAGGATCTCATGAAGAGCAACCTTCCTACGTTACTTAAACGCCAAATCATCGATATATGCATCCTGCCCATCCTAACCTACGGTGTACTGGATCATGGAACACAACATTGTGGGCCTTAAACGCATTGACCGAGCGCACAATGCAATGCTGCGCTCGGTGACTTACCCCTTTCCGGCCGACTCGATACGATCGTGCTACTAATTTTGAAAAAAATCTGACCGCGCGTAAATCAACTTTTCGAAACGAGGACGATACCGATAGATCGTGCACACTCCAGCGCAGCGCGTTAGTGCGGCGGGTGGGGTTGTTCCGTCAGTCGACCTTACGGTAGTGTCCAGAATGGCGGCGTTTTTTGGTGGCAGCGGCGTCATACGTAAGTGCATATTTTTTTAACTTTTTGTTAATTGAGTAATGAATTAAGGGGTAATTTACATAGGTAATGAGTCAACTATGATAAATGAGTAGAAATGTGATCAATAACCTCAATATTATTTCAATAACTTATCTCGTAAAAAACGTTGCACGATTGTGCGTATTCGGCCACTTCACGAAAATCAGTAGTATATTATGCAATAATTACATCTTTCGTTGTTTTTGTTGCATACTTTAATTTCTATCGGATGTTTTTTGTGTTTTTAGGTCGTGCATTAAGAGACAATCAAATAGAAAAACTTATAGGTTTTAAAAAATGGACCCTCATAGTATTGATCCACTTTTTCGATTTAGCAATAGTTAATGCACGGAGAGCTTACAGAATTGATTGCGAGGCTAAGAAGTATCCCCGTTGCAAGATACTAGATTTACTTGATTTTCGTATGGAAATCCACGAAGTACTAATTAACGTACCAGAAAAGAGGCAATGTGAAGAAGCAGGTGATGCCTCAGATGGTGAAATGCCAGTTCCAAGAAAATATGCAAAGTCTGCCAGGCCGTCTGTATCCCTGAGGTATGATGGTTATGATCATTTACCTATATTTTATGACATGAATTCTCCAAGGGCTTGCCAATTTGAAACTGCTGCAGCCGTACTAAGACACGTTGCATTTAATGCAATGTGTACCTATGCATCTCACGTAACCAAAAGCTGTTTTTTTTATCATAAGAAGTAAAAATTGTTTGTTATTGTTTTAAGTTTGATATTTTTTTAGTTATATAAGAATTTGCTTTAATTCCTATACGAAATGTGTTAATTATTAATAAGAAACGCAAGGCTGATTATTATTTTATTAAAGGTGCAAAACCGATCTCGTAAAAAATGTGTTTTATTGACATTTACCATTTTCAAAATGAATTTGCACAATCGTGCACTTTGCATGTAGTTCCTGAACCGCACGATCGTGCAGTAAATTTTAACGATGATCAATGTTTACAGGATTTTTTAAAATATTTTTCTCCGAGTATATGAAGCAAAAGTGCACAACTAATCAGCATTTTCACTTAATTTAAAGAAAAATGAATCCTCGGCCGGAAAGGGTTACATTGCTGATGTAGGGTGTAAAACAGTCAGTCTCAAATGGGATTGGACTGGTCATGTTAGCCGGGTGGAACCTGGGAAGTGGACGAATGTCGTCATTCGTTGTGTGCCCGAGGATGGAAAGCGACGACGGGACAATCTTGATGAGTTTGAGAACGAGTGATGGGAAGTCGCCAATGACAGGGGGCACTGGTACACTTTGGGGAGACAATTTCCCAGCTGTGGAACACAATAGGTTTAAAAAATGACATTAACTGTAATCTACGAAAATATTTCTTTCATATTTTTGTGCTTTTTTTTGTATATCAACATGACAACATTATTGATGACGACGTATTTAAAAAAAACAAAATAAATAATGAAAGCAATGTACTGAAGTGTCAGCATTTTTTTTCAGAATTATAAATTCCACAAGGTTAAAAAAGTAGCTGTACTCGGGCCAGAAACGTATTTTTGGACTTGGCATCACTGTGATGAACTGCAAGAGATTAGTATTAAAAATTCTAGTTTTGCAGAAATAACAAGAACGCCATACGGGGTCCTTAGAGAATATACTAGTCTAATTAAACTGGATATACAAGATACGCCTATAAACAAAGAGATAATAATGCATTTATTAGACGGAGTTTTTCTTCAGGAACTCACGATACAAAATTGCAGTTTATACGAATTGCCTGAACATTTTAATAATTTAACTGAAGAGTTGATAAAACTGGATCTAAGTCATAATTATCTACGTTTTGTGCCTTTGTAAGTTTGTTTATTTGTTTGATATTATTCACAAAAAACTGTAATCAGAATTATTTAATTTGACATGCATACTGCCGTGTCAGGCGTATATCTGTTTACTTAAGATACATATTGTCTTTATGGTACGACGGGCGACCGTTGTTAAATACACGTTTTAAAGTCTTTCAAAGTATGGAAGTGACTGAGATAGGTCAATTGTTTACAGCGTCAGATCTACTTCGATTTTTAGGCTCAAGTTGTACGTTTGCATGCTTTCACGACCTGAGAACTAAACCAGTTTGAAGTGAGAAGCGATATAAGCGTGTGAGAACAGGAGAACTCAGGCGCACAGTTACGCAGTGCTATTGTAGGAATTCCGTCTGACCTGCGTTTTTTTTTCTTTATTTTTAAAGAGGGTTTTATCTTTACGTATATGTCACCCTCATAGGGACGATACAGAGATATTAATCTATCAATCAATATAGGTATTACTAATTTCATAACGTTATACAACATCCTGGCCTCCTTAGACAAGGGGCTGGCCAATATGCTGTTGTATATGCCTTCCGAACGCAGCGTTAAGTCCAGAATCTGTTGTCTTAACAACTCTCTCCTAACCCACTCCATTATTACATAGACGTCTTCTGTTGTCGCACATATCTCACAGTTTGGTAAAGGAACCGTTGACATCAGATATCCAAACTTGTTCAAAGGAACGTGTACTGAGCGAAGCCTTAACGCTGTAACTAATTCACTCCTGGACTGATATGTAATATACCACACCCAAACGCAAGACCTCGACTACAGCATCAACACAAATCCCCTGAGGAAAAGCAAGACTGACAGGGATATGAGACAATGTGAAACCGTATGAGATTCAACGTCTGGGATCCTGATGAGCAGATGACAAACTGGGAAAGGCTTAGCGTTAACGCAAGTTTTCGCGTCGCTCTCCCAGCATGATCGGTCATGTGGTATAGTAACAGCCATTCTTGATAGTGAGCATTAACCCATTAGTGGCCAAACAGAAACCATCGTTAATTGTAAGAAAATTTCTTTAATTATTTATTCTTAGAAATCAAAATAAATGGAAAAGTAATGAAAAAAGTAAAAAAATATGTTTTTCAGGAAACTACAGGGGTGTGCCCAAAGTGGCACAGTGGCCGTTTATGAGTGAAATTTTTCAAAACAAGGTTTTTCTATGCAAAGCGTTTTCTTGCATTTTTTGCAACCCCAACGGCTTCTGCTATGGCACACGACGCATCGCACACGCTTAGGAAGCTTTTCAGGAACATGATCAGCACCATCCAATCGTAAACCTTCAACATTCGAAGCAGTAGGGCGCCCAGATTGCCTTTGTACTAATTGCCGTAGGTAAAATCTGGCTATAGTGCGTCGAAATAACAACTGATCCATGGGGTCTTCTTTAGTAAATACATGCAACCGCCATGCATTTGATATAGCCATGTCAACCATATATGTAAATAAAACCCACCACTATTTTTTGCCGTGGATGCCAATTCTATAGAGCGAAATTGATTGATCCATTTCGTCCACTCCACCCATGCCCTTATTGTAATTTTAGAACAGAAGAGGAATATTCATATCAGCTTTTATTTTTTTTTCCGGACACCATCTTTTTACAGTTCCAACCGGCTCATAAGAATCATAATTCGTTGCCATCGTGCAAATGCTGTTGTCTTTCCAGCGAACCAATAAAAGTTGATTGTTTCTATCGAACATGTAATCGAACTCAGCCCTAGACTTTTTCATCATTTGCTTTGCATTTAGAAGAGGACATTTCTTGGTGCGATTCTCACGAATAGTTCCTGTAGCACGGTATCCTAGTTCACGCAAATCATTTAGCAAGTGACAACTTGTAAAAAAATTGTCAAAAAATACTTTATGATTTACAGGATTTGTTTCCAATTTTCCAAGTAGCATTTTTACGACTCTAGTACCCAATGGCTCAGCACTAGAAGAAGTTGATTTACCACAATAAATATCGAAACTATAGCAATAACCAGATGAACTTGCTGCAACCCAATTTTTGTATCCAAAACGTACAGGTTTGCCACGAATAAATTGTTTTGCCGAATGATGTCCATAATATTTGACCATAGATTCGTCAATAGAAATATGTTCATGAAAAACTTTCCATTGATTGAATTTTTTCATGAGAATATCTGAAAGTTTACGTACTTTGAACATTTTATCGGTGGTGTTTGGAGCGTCGTTATTGTCTACAAGATGTAAATTTCTTTTGATTTCCCTAAATCTGTTCCTAGACATCGCTTTTGAGACAATGTCGACGCCGATATCCTCATCTAAAGACCAGTACATACTTTCTCTTGGTAGTTTGTTATATCCACATAGTATCAGAATCCCAAAGAAAGTGTTCAACTCTTCAACAGTGATACTAAAATTATGTCTATTATTTTGACTCGCGTACATGTTGCTGAAGTCAACAATCATTTTATAAACTTCATCGTCAAATAACTTTTCAAATATTTGTACTGGTGTCAAGTCTTTCAGTTCCTCTTTTACAAGATTTTCGGACAGTGATCGGTCTTCAGTTTCTTCGTAGGTCTTTGAATAATTTGGTGAACACCTTCGCCAAACTGGGATATTCGGTACTGATCGATTTTGTGCAGTACTGGGCACTGCAGTCTGCACCGACGTATTGCATATTCTTGATCTTTTGACAGATAACGGCTCATCGTCACTGCTATTTTCGGAATCGGAGAGAGAGCCAATATGACGAACAAATACTTCAACATTACCAGGAACATCCTTTGGCAAGCTAGAGGGAGTAATATCGTCGTCGAAACCCTCTTCTTCATCAGTTACGACACTGGGCTCTGGTGGAATAATGGCTAAATCATACTCCATCCCGTCGTCACTATCTTCCGTGATCGAATTTATGGCTTCTTCCAGCCCTCGATAATTATTACTAGCGCTAAAACGGCGCTCGCGTTTCATATTGATTTCCTGAAATCAATATTATAATTACTACACTTATAGCCATTGTACCAAAATTGGCACAGTAATTTTTTCAATGTTATAAATTTCCACTCATTGGGTATAGATGGCCATAAATATTTGTAAATGTTTCGTAATTTACTAAATTTCAAGTAAGATTAGTTCGAATCAAAATCTATTTGAGCTACACCCTGTAGTAATCATAAATATGTACTTACGTTCACGCTGATTCTGATATTGAAGTTCAATCGCTTATTACACAAACTTCTACTACTTGTAACAAAATAGTTCCGATGTATATTTAAGCACTGCAGTTTCACCTTCTTACCCAAGTAATAACATATTAAATACAATGAAAATATTTCATAACTACCCTCAATAATTAAGTGTTCCCATATTGGCACGGCGGGCAAGAATGGGAAGCCCCTAGAATGACGATTCTACGTCTCTGGGCGCATGCCGAGCCTCATCAGATGTCTCACTCAGATGTTGCAATGGTGATCTCATGATCTTAAATGTGTGTCAACTAGAAGGCACAAAACAGAAAAACTGCTCCTTGCATACTATGAAAAAACCTTAGGTACAGATTTTTTTCTAATTTCTGCAATAGTTTTAATTTATAGCGTTTATGCGACAGTCTATAAACACTTTTTACAAATCGGCTATACACTACTCCAAAACTGTATTGCAATGAATGGATCTATTTTTTTATTTCAAAGTTCATGTGTCACTTATTTTTTTCGTTCACCAATAATTAGTTAATAACTACATACAATTTACATTAACATTAGCTATCATGCCAATTTCTGGTATCTTGAAGTTACCTGTACTAAGCAAACCATTTTGTGTTAAACGTGTTGGTCTTAAGTCCTGTATCTTTAGATACAGAACGTCGCTTGACTTAATTTGTATGAGGAGCTTGTTACGCTAAACTCTGTTATCGGTAATAAATTAAAAAATTGATACTTTTTCAGAGATCTGAAACATTCCCCGTATTCCTTAGGCTTTAATCAATCTTTTAACGCATAAAATCTTCAAACTTAAAATTGAAAAAAACTTTAAACAGCTTTTTCTCAAATTAGGTTTCGTGAGATACATGAACTATGTCTGACACGGCAGCGTAACAGTAAACAAAATCAAATTAACAATAACAAACTTGTCAAATAGGTCTCTGATTACAAGATTTTTAAGACAGACAAATATGTCTGTTTTTAAAGCTATCATCTATCACTGGCCAGTCAATTCGTGACCATGGTGCGTCTAACCGTTCTGAAATATCGGGAAAATAAAAAAGCTCATAATATTGTGGTAACTTATAATTAGTTATAATCTTTTGGGTTCAGGGTTGCACTAGAATATTATGAAGTACATTTATAGTAACCTTCACTAATTCAGGTATTAGTATATCCAGACCAAGACGACGTCTAGATACTAAAAGATGTAAAATAAATCTGCACCTTGGTGTTACTTTGATTTTACTGTAGTTAACTCGTTAAACTATTCCTTTGTTTCTAATTAATGTTGACGTTTGATATTAACAAAATGTTGAGAATATAAATAATGTCAATGTAATTAGTTTTGTATGTACATGTTTTGAATTATTGTTTTTTACGCATCTTAGTGCGACTAAGAGAAAGGAATCGTCTGTATTCAAAAATTTAGAAACTATGGATCTATCTTACAACCAGCTGGAAGACAGCGCGTCTGTCATGTGCACAGCCGCGTTGATGCCTCGACTGCGTGACATGATCTTGGATTATAATTTTCCTTTGGATATCTGCAACTCTAATTACTGTAATGATCAATGTAAGTCTATTTTTATTAATCAAAAATGTATGTCTTTATGACGCTGACTTCTTACTATTTACTGAAATTCCTAAAATAAATGCATTACACTTTTTGTATTATACATATTAAGTAAATACTAAATTTACATTTTTATTAAACATAAATTGTTTTACTTCTACAGCAACTAAGCCAAAAGAGCAACTATGGATGGTATTTCCGGAACTTAAAAATATATCGGCTAGTTTTACAAACACTTCAAGGTTATGTTTTGGTCTCATGAAAAGCGCGAGTTTGGTTGTTTTTAACATTAGCTATAGTAATGTCTCTACACTATCGGTAAGTAGTTTGACAAAGTAAGCGAAGGGAATACATTCAACAAAATATATTATTAATCCGTTCTTCGCTTTGAAAGTATGATGAGATGAGAAATGAAAGTGATTGATCTAAGATATATCTTGAACTAGAAAACTAAATTAAATACATTACATCCAAATTACAGTGTGCTGCATTACCGTAACTAAAATGCCCGTAACTTCACCATTCACTATGAATAGTTGCAGGAATTACCAGCATTTACTGCACCAAATTTTACCATGGATCTACGTGAAAATAATATAACCGATATCGAATTCTTTGACAAAAATGCGTACGATGCAATGAACTCGAGATTTGTAAGTTATATTTCACTAAATTCAGCCATATTCTTACATAACTAAGATAAGAATTTATCTAAATTTCACTAAATAATACTGTTTCAATTATTACAGGCAAAACACAACACGAAAACGACAGTTTTAGCTAATGTGAAGCATCTGCAATGCGATTGCCAATATTTATGGTTACAGAAAACGTTAAATGACATCTCAAACCTGGAACTACAAGATATATGGTGTTCGGATGGAATTCAGCTAATTCATAAAGATTGGCACCGTTTAAATTGTACCAAATTTGATTGTGGTGACTGCGTTTGCCGTCGAGATTCAAAGTTTGCAACTGCTAATTGTTCTTCCGGATCGACTTTCACCATTCCTATGGTCGAAAATTTAAGTCATGTTTACGCTGTTTCCAATCGAATAAAATCTCTCAACGCCAGTTTATTTAGTGATAAATTAATTGTAAGTATATTTACAATATATTCGAAATATTATACGTGACATGAAGCCGTATTTTTTCATGATTACAACGTTCTGTCGTTACGAAGGATTTAGGTTCTAACGTTGAGCGAAACTGTTTCTTTTTAACACTTCAATTATTATTGTATGTTTATAAAGGTAACAATAATATCAATAATCGTCTTTGAATTTTACAGTTGGTTGACATTAGAAAAAATCAAATCTCACGTTTGGACTTGGAAACACTCGGAGTAATGTTTTCGAAGGAAGATCGACATTTTAGACTAGCTGGGAATCCAATAATCTGTGACTGTACAAATCACGTGTTACTTAAAACTTTTCGATTACATCGCGATCAGGTAAAATAAAAATTTAATTTCGTTTTACTAATCATTTATCCAAAGGTTTCAAGTGCTGTTTCGTTAACCTACAAATTTACTTTGCAGGTGGACGATTACAATGATCTGACTTGTTTTGCAGATGAAACTTTATTGAATAGCGTTAAAGAAGATCAACTCTGTGGCAGCAAGCAGTCCATAGCAGGAACATCTATTTTCACAATACCGTTAGCGTGTATCTGCGTTGTGCTTGTAATTTTTGCATTAATGAATTTCGTATACTATCGCTACAGATATCAAATTAAGATTTTTCTATACGCTCGAGGTTGGTTTCTCTGTTGTATTAGAGAAAATGACATAGATGAAAATAGACCTTACGATGTGTTTATTTCTTTTGCGCATGACGATGAAGAATTCATTTCTGATGAATTATTGCCTGGACTTGAAACAGGAGCAACTGTTTATAAAACTTGTGTTCATCTAAGAGATTGGATTCCAGGAGAAATGATTCCAACTCAAATAATAAATTCGATTGAAAGATCACGAAGAACTCTTATTGTTGTTTCTAAAAGTTATGTGAAATCTCTATGGGGCCTGATGGAGTTTCACATGGCCCATGCAAGTGCTATGGCTGAAAGAAGAATTCGTGTTATCGTTATACTTCTCGAAGATATGTGTGAAGATGATCTTTTAGATCGTGTACTTCAGTTATATATGCAGACTAACACTTATTTGCAGTGGGGTGATCCTTGGTTTTGGGATAAGCTTCGATATGCACTACCTCATAAATCTGAATAACACTCTTGGTTCATTGAAGTACACCACCGTATTAATAACGTAATACTTTACTTGCGAAAAGAAAATGTAACAAAACTATATAAAAACATAGAATATATGTATTTAGACCACGAAATGGAATTTTGTGTGGTTGGTTTGTGTTGTTGGTTGGTACAACATAAGACAAAACAAAATAAAAATGTCAACACAAGATTACTAACGATAAATATATTTTGCTAGTAAGAACTTTTTTTATTTATTTCCGAGGTACTGTTACGCCATATTTGATCAATGATCACACATTACTAACAAACAACCAATTGTGTTTATGTTATCGTAGAATAAAATTTTTCTTTCACCTCATTTTTGCAATACCCCAATTCATACCATGTACTATGACTGACTCGAATGTTTTTAGACTGTAATTATAAGTTTTGTTTGGTCACCAAAAGAAAGTTAATTTTGAAATACGTTGTCAAGGTGGTCAAATGATACAGCTACGTCATTGATTAAAGTAGTCAGGATTCGAAATTTTATTATATTATTAATAGGCATTATTTAAGTTTGCGTGCTCCATCCATCGTCGACCTCATCGTCACTTTCCATTAGATGAGATAGAGGCCTTCTTCTTATCGTATCGATGGCAAACACTAAAATTCTTGCCTTCGTAGTGAAAAGATTTGGCAATCGGAGTAAGGTACTTGCCGATTGATGCCCTCGTGAAGGGTGCTTCATACGTACACGAAAGGAATGGTACGTGTCGTGCGGTCTCCCCGCGTTCCTCTTTCATGCACCCACAGAAATCTAAAATTTAGGTTTCTGTGCATGCACACCATGATGGAGGTCCAATAGTCACTTATTCTCTTTTTAAATCTTATTCGAAATACGCTGAAACCTATAAGAGAGTAATATGTTATACAGTTTGTAAATTCGTGTGTCGTGTTTGTCAATTGCTTAGCTCATAAAAGTGATCAAATCAAAATTACGTGATTGTAACAAAGTTATTCTTATGGTTTCCCTTTTCGTATCCCGTAACGATATAATAGTACAATATTTACGTGTCACAGACACTCAATTCGTGGAACCATAGCATTATGTTAATAAAAATCGAGAATCGATTCTTGACAATACGTTTATTGGTCCATTATTATAGTTCCTTGCTTCTCGGTTCGCATTAGTCGAAGACTTATCAAGGTTTGTTTTACTCGAAACTGTGTAGTTAAGTCATAGCAAATAGCTAAAACTATTTAAATGCAAGTTCGGTTCTATCTAATTAAGGCGAGGTATTTGTACGCAAGCTTAGATTTTGGAAGGCGAGGTATCGCCCATTGAGTCCCACAATCCACACGAAAATTAATATGAATAAGATAAGAATCAGATCATCATAACCGACGTTAACAAGCGCCCGACGGCGCCTGGGCAGTGGCGGGGCCTGTCGTTACACCGTTGGGCAATTTTCAAATTTTGGGATAAATGTGTTTTTAATAACTATACTAAGTACAAGTCCGGTCGTGTATGGAGTACTGCTGCCACTTATTGGACAGCTCTGTTAAATACCAACTAGCTACCTTAGATGCGGTTGAAAAGCGCGCCAAGACGTGAGTCGGATTTAATAGAGGCGAAGCTGCAGAGCCTTGAACACTGTCGCAAAAGTACCTGCTTATCGGCATTCTACAGGATATATCATGAAGAATGTACGATAGAATTTAATGATTTAATTCTGCCTACCCCTTTTCATCATCGTGGGTCTAGGCGTAGGCTGGGCTTCCATCCCTATGTTGTGAATATACCCAGGATTCGCATGAAGCGTTTCGCTTCCACATTTATATGGCGAGCGGATAAGGAGTGGATTTCTTGCCCGCGAACTTATTTCTCGAGCGCTATATCTTGGACATTTTCAAGGCGAGAGTGAATAGGCATTATTTAGGTGTGCATGCTACTTCGGCGACCTCATCGTGTCTTTCCATCAGGTGAGATGTATGTCTATGTATCGCATCAAAACAACCGACGCCACCTAGCGCCTTTTGTAGGAACTATAATATGCTAAATGTTGGTGATGTAAGTGTTTTGCGTAAATAAGTTTATTACACTGGACCGTTTTCCTTTTAGATGTTCTTTACGTATACCTTCTTTAGCAGTCATTTAAAAGCATTTATAACATGACTGACATTTTCATTTACTCGTATTTTATCGATAGTGTTTACACACGGAACGCCTATTATATTGCTCTTGTAAACTTGAGAGTAATTTGTGATATTAATTAAACAGTGAATTTTGTGGCATTTCGGAAGACATGCGTATTTTATTGTTAGTGAAGGCATGGGTTGTGCTCATATGCGCGTACGCTGCTCCTTCAGGGAATGCCAGTGATTTTAATGCAGGTAATTTTATCGTACTACCTAGGTAGAAGCTAGGTAGCTTCTAACTGCCGAGCTATTTAAACTTTGTATTATAGTAAGGGTACATGGGGGTATATTTTTGCGGTACTTATCCTTAACAATCTCAAATCTTATGAGCCGACATAAATTTTTTTTTTAAAGTAACCATTGGTAATTTATCATGTCTCTCCGTCCATTATATTTCGAACGAAATTATTTGTTGAGAATTAAGTATATTTCCTTCATAGTTCTGTTCAGAAATTGCTAAGTGACAGAAGAAATGACGGAATCCTTAAACTAATCATGTCGGCAGCAGGCAAGATATATTACAAGAAAACAATCGTCACCGCTTACAAATATTTCCAGCATCTAGGAGTATCTTAAATTCGCAAATCTCTTTACCCTTTAATCCGAAAAATAAACTGTGCAGAATATATATCGGTTGAAAGAGATAGAACGGTTGTAACCATTTAATTCATATAGTTAACCATTTAACTATTTGACATGGATTAGAAATTAAACTCCCATGTTAGTTAGTTAGGTAGTCCCATGGTCATAGTTAACTGAGTCAGAATACCCGAAATGAGTCCGAAACGTTGATTTCTTTAAAAAAACAAATTAACACCAATGTACCAATTGAAAAAGTCTAAGAACTCGATATACATGACAGAACCATTCCAATAGGTAGTAATCATACAGTCTCTTACGTTGTTGACTACAATTATTCATATCAGAACTATTTACATCACATTGAATAAGAAATTCTAACTATGTGAATACTATATTTCCGTCAAAATTGTAAATTACGTCCATTTGGGCAAAAGGGTCCGACCATATTAGGTAGCAAATTCATTTTTGTCATACATGAAAGATGATTTGTTCGTCTTAATCAATGAAATAATATCATTGGTCATAATGGGTTACGGTTTGGGGACTTAACATAATATGTGATAGAATGATATGAGTCATTCATAATGTCACGAGTTTCCCTTAACCTTCTTATACATGAGATGATTCAGTTCAAAATGTGTTGAAACCAAGTGTAGAAATGGGAATCACCTACGATTCTCAGTCCCTAACCGCGGATCCCTTGAAAGTCAGTCTGTACAGCGTAAAATTCGAAGAGTTGCGAACCCTGTGGCCGAGCTATACATGCGTTGACTAGATGACGTCTTTAGATTTAAGAAATACCCTGAAATGAATCACGATTTTCCAGGAATCTGGCCTTGTTTATTTACATTAAATTATTGCGTATTACATCCGGGATCATAATTGACATTTGACTTTATAAGGAAACGAACGATCTGTGCAAATAGATTCGATGGTTGCGGTAACACAAAAAAATTAAATGCAACCAAATGTTAACTAAGTAAAAATTGTTTCCTCCAAATTTTTCTTGGTAATTAAGCCCTAAGTGAATAAACGTAAGTCCAAGATTTGCACTCACAGATAATAAGTCAATAAGTCATAGTCAACCCTAGGGCTCGTAAAGCCTACCTGTAAAAGTTTAGCAACTTTTACACGATGTTAACATTCTACGAGTGCGAATAAATCCATCGCTCTTAAATATGCAACTCCAGTTTGGAATCCATTCTGTCAAGTTCATGTAGATACGTACAACGTGTACTGGCTTTTTGACGCATAAGGATAAATAATGTTTATAAGAACAATTTAGCAACAGTTTCCAATACGGTTCCTGTATCAAAACAGGCTTAGGAACTGGTTTACAAATTTAAGATGTGTCTACGATCCCTGGTCCAGTGACAAATGTGAAATTTACATTTATTACTTGCTGATTTTCAGGCTGATTTCAAGTTAAATAGTTAAGTTTTAAGGTCTGACTGATCTAAGGGCAAATTATAACCTCGTTACTCAGACGGAATTTGGGATACACTGGCAAGCTAGTGACTTCGAAAGGCAATGGGTCAAAGTGAATGGCATGCAAAAGAAGATATTTATACTTTGCAGTGAGTGATTGCAGACCGATATACAAATAGTCATTTGCAGCACCAACTGCTTCTGTTATATAATCTGTGATATAATCGTTTGGACGCATAACCTTTTAAAGATCTTTTAAAGATTATGCGTCCAAACTTGAAATTTTGGGTTCTTGTTCTTTTCAGACAACAAATACATTTACGAAACTCAAAATAAGAGCTTATACGACTATAAACATGTCGTCATACAAATGAACTGCGGCAACGATTTCTTACCATTCAGAAAGAAAGTGGGAATTAAAATTATTAAAATTGAAGTGTGTACGAGCCACACATATAAAGGACGTGACACTTCTTATTACAAAAACGTTTTACGAAAATATAACATTAGTAACAATATGGAAATTTTAAAAATCGCTTATGGCACAATGAAGGTAAATTTTCTTGAAGTGTTTGATAATTAGTATCTACTTTGAAACTGTGAAACGAATTTTATCAATTATAAATTAAATATCGATGCCTTACTTTCTAGAACTCGTATCTTATAAAGTGTGATTATTCAGGAGATGGCAAACCTTTTTATTTAATTTAAATTTCTTATCATGGGTGTTATTTTGGATGCATTACTTTAAGAATAGGTAAAAGCCAGTATGTGGATATGGAGTAAAAGGGGTTGTGAAATCTGCCTGCAAAATTTGTAGATATATATAATCCATTTTTTGCATTTCGTTTGTGCTTTAAGATACGAGTTCGAGAAAGGCGATGATATGCCTCGATGAAGTTATTCTTTATCATTACAAGCGATGGAACGAAAAAGTCGTGCTCTTGGTGGTAAGCGTCACGCATATCCGTGATAAATAATTGCAGTGTAACTCACAGTTTTAAATCGCAAAGATCTGAAGGACATCGCCACTGCGCCTGTTACCTTGAGATATAAAGTTGACAAGTCCCATGTGCCTGTAATTTCACTAAGACCCTTACTTTCACCGGAACGTAGTAACGCTCACATAGCTAAGGTGGTAGTGCTTACCTAGATGAACTCTTTCACTAGAAACTCTACTGCTATCGGTGATCAAGAATCACTACCAAAATCACCAATCACCAAAGAATAGCTTTAGAGATCTGAAAGACAAACGTTGAAAACATACTGGACGCGATGGCCGCAGGGCGCGATTTTCTTAATATATTACAACCATTTTTTAGTATCAGTAGAACTCCTTGTGAAAGAGTTCGTCCGGAGAAGTAGGTACTGTCAGCGTACCTATTTCTGTAATTTGAGCATTAAGCGTTTCTAAAGTAGTTATAAGCTTGTGGGAATTTCTCGAGGTGACGGACGCATTAGCAGTATCTCTCAGAACTTTGCGATTTCAAGGTCTGAGTGTCACTACAACTGTGGGTAAGCATGTCCCTTACCACCAGGCCTACGCCTCATTCGTCCCGTTACTCGATATCATAAACCTTCCCCTCCCCTCTCTATATGTTCTAGAAGTCGCTACATTTGTTCGAAATAATCCCGGTCTATTCGAATTCAACAAGAGTGGACATCTAATACGCAATAATAAAAAAAATACCCAAAAACAGTTTATTCACCTCCACTCTTTATTAGAAGTGCCTTCTAATAAATAAAGGCATAGTATTTTGTCTCAGAGTTCATGCAAGATAACGAGCTATAACAAAAGATCTCATTGTATTTAAATTTTCACACTTATAAAGTACCCTGTTCAGAACCAAATAGTTTTTTAACAAGCATAATAATAATTATAATTGTTTAAAGCTAACTAGATTTAAGTATATTTTGCAGTGCCCTGACAGTTGCAGGGTCCATGTGAGTCTAAAATTTCATGTTACAACTATTTTTGTACCATGGCTGCAATAAACGTCATTTCATTTCATTTAAAAAGATTCTTATAGACCGTAATGTAATTTGTTTCAAAAATATTAATGCCTTCTATATAATGCTATCTAAAATATTGAAATTCATTTGTGCTGTTAATGCCAAATATGCTACTTTCAGAATTCTACAGAAATGGAGGAAAACAGAATACATATCGAAGTATTTGCATCATTTGAAGACACAATCAACATTACAAGTTTTATTAACAAACGTGAATATTTACAAGAATTGAATATAACGAGTTTTTATCGCAGTGCAACAATTATATCAAAAGAAGAAGCTTCAAGAATTTTAAAACCCTGTTCTCAGTTGAGAAAATTGAACATACAACGTACGCCTTTAAATTTGGAGATGTTGAAAAATTTGCTGTCGGGAACGACCCTGTGGGAACTCGTAGTCCGTAATTGTTCTTTGTTAGAATTGCCCGACAATTTTGTCCATTGGTCTCAACAGTTAAAACGACTGGATCTCAGCTATAATCGTTTGCGTATAGTGTCTTTGTAAGTTTGTATATTACATTCCTTGTATATGAAAATGATATATGTCCAATTCAAGTACTAACTGAATGATAACAAAATATGTTATTGTATGCTACTTGTATTTGAACAGAATATGAGAGATTTTAGTGATATTTCAATTGTAAGTACGTAATCACATAGTCTCAAACGCTTTAATGACTAATTATACAATTCTCCACTTAGCCTGTCAGCATTGAAATCAGAGACCATCTTCAGAAATCTTGAGTTTATAGACCTGTCTCATAACGAGTTGATACATGGTGCCTCTGAGATGTATATAGCTGCTTTAATGCCTAGATTGCAGTACATAATCCTGGATTATAATCCTCGTTTGGATCTCTGCGGTAAAAATTACTTCATTGACAGTTGTAAGTTTGTTTAACTTTTTCAATTACTAGAATAGAGTTCAAATTTAAAGGGTTTAGATGAATATCAAATTAAGGTTTGCATGATGATCGTTTTGTTGAAAACATAGTAATTTTTTACAGCGAAGTTGCAGACAAATCAGCAATGGGTCATCTTACCGGATCTAAAGGTGTTGTCTTTTAGTTTCACAAGCACGTCAAGGCTCTGTTTTAGTTACATGAAAACTGACAATTTGATGCTGTTCAATATCAGCAACAGTCGGATCTCTACGTTATCGGTGAGTTAAACGAAATTCTTAGAAAATGAGCCGTAAAACTAAGTAACAAAGCACCAGGATCTTGTTTCATTTTTTAAAAATAATTCGGAACTTGAGGATCTGGAATTTAAATAACTTGCAATTGAATAGACATCCCATTTCCGGGAAAAATTGTTAAGTACATGACTTTTGTGAACAGTTACAGGACTTACCAGCATTTACAGCACCGAATTTCACAATAGATCTGCAGGGAAATAACATCACTAGAATTAAAGAATTTGGCATAGATGACTACGAAACAACGAAGAATAAACTAGTAAGTGGATTTGTTTCTGTAAAATTGTAAATTTGGATTGTCCGCTGGCAGAAAATATACTCCTGCGATTACAACAATGTGAAGTGCGTAGAATCACGATCACAAAAGTGCAAATAGCAAATATGCCATTGTAATTTTCGTTTTGTTTATTTGATTGACAATATATTGTTAACGATCAACCATGTAATATTAGGTTTATAATACATTAACAAATACATTGTATCCTATTAATGTTTGATTACAGTTAAGACGTAATGAAACAATAACAACGATACTTGGAAATGTAAAGGACCTCAAATGTACCTGCAAATACGCTTGGTTACAAAAATTGTTAAAAGAATTCTCAAACTTGGTTGTCCAAGATATATCGTGCTCAGATGGAGTTCAGCTAATACATCAAGAATGGGAGTTTTTAAATTGTACCGAGTTTGATTGTGGCGATTGCGTTTGCCGTCAAAATGGAAGATCTGTGTATGTAAATTGCTCTTCTGGCTTAACTCGTAACATTCCTATGGTAAAGAACTTAAGCCACATATACGCTGCTACCAATCGTATAGAATCTTTGGACGCCAATTTATTTAGTGAAACATTGTTTGTAAGTTTTATAATTTATACAACCATTACTATAACTGAAAAAATTACACAACTTTGAATTTTCCCTAATATTGTTTGACAAACTTGTTCCATGTGACTCGTTGACATAGCATTTAGGTCTTTGAGAGCTAGATGAGAACCAATTTAGGAACTAAACTTTTTTAATTAATTCTGATTTGGGTGCTGTGGTTTTGCTCCGAAAACTACGATGTTCAGGAGATTTGTCTAATCTTAAACTAGGTAGTTGATATGACCGTTGTTCTTTTAAAGAAGGAGAAATGCTTCTATATTTTTCCGGTCAAGACGACCAGTTCTATTGGAAGGATTTTGTAGCACCACAGGCCCAACACATTGAAAATTCTTCCGAAATTTTATTACAATTACCGAGTTTGAATAAAGAAAAAGTAACTAAGTTCTGGATGGGGATGAGACCAACTGATATCTATGCTATGGAATACGACACATAAGTAGATAATTTTTAAATATTTTATATTAACCAAAAACTTAAAATTTCATCCTTGAAATTTCCAGTGGGTTGATGTACGTGCAAATCGAATATCACGTGTGGACTTAGACACTATCAGAGCCATGTTTTCAAAGACAGATCGACGATTCAGCTTAGCTGGAAATCCAATAATTTGTGACTGCACAAATCAAGTACTGCTTGGAACTTTTCGATTACATCGTCACCAGGTAAGTGCGGTAACAGTATATTTCAATTAAAACCTATTCAAATAGAAACACGTCATTGAAAAAAGAAGCAAACAATAAAGTAATAGATACAATGGAAAGTAGAAAAAGGCGAACTATGTACCAATATATTTATCTTTTATTACAGATAGTCGATTATGATAACCTAACTTGTGCTGGAGGTGAAGTTTTGTTATATAATGTCAAGGAAGGTCAACTTTGTGACAGTGAACATTTGAACTTAGGAACACTTGCTTTAAATATAGCGTTACCAACTACCTGCGTAGCGGTCATAATTTTAGGAGTGATATCACTGATGTACAATCGCTACAAACGTCAAATAAAATTATTCTTTTACGTTAGGGGTTGGTGTCTCTGTTGTATAAAAGAAAGCGAGATAGATTATAATAAAACATACGATGTGTTTGTCTCGTTTGCGCATGAAGATGAAAACTTCGTTACTGACGAACTATTACCAGGTTTAGAAACGGGGCCTTCAGTTTTCAAAACTTGTATCCACCTTAGAGATTGGACTCCAGGAATAATGATTCCAAATCAAATTGTGACATCAGTTGAAAAATCACGAAGAACTTTGATAGTTGTTTCAAAAAGTTATGTTAAATCGGTATGGGGACTGATGGAGTTTCACGTGGCAAATGTAAGTGCCATGGCTGAAAGAAGAAGTCGTGTTATTGTTATACTTCTAGAAGACGTGTCTGAAAATGATATTTTAGATCCTGAACTTAGGTTGTATATGCGGACTAACACGTATTTGCGTTGGAATGATCCTTGGTTTTGGAACAAGCTTCGATATGCGCTTCCTCATAAACCGGAAAAGTAGTCTTAATATCGAGTTCTTAGGTTTTCGCTATTGTTACACATAGAAAATGAAACTATTTTTCCGGATTTAAATCGCGTATATTTGTTTTTTCAAGCAAACCGACGTTTCGGGCCCTTTACAGGTCCCATGGTCACGGTTGACTGAGGTGGTACAGTCTTCAACCAGTTATGTCTAATATTAATGCAAACCACCCTATTTTTTCACTATAGTTACAATAGTTATTAATTAAATACCTTATTTTTAATTTTACAAAGAAAACATTCCAATTTACGCTACATTAAGTTTTACAAATTATTTTATTGAATGAATTTTTATTAAGTTTAATTTATTATTAATTATTAATAGAAATTAGAATAAACTAATAAAAAAACAAATATACGCGATTTATATCCGGAAAAATAGTTTCATTTCCTAATCTTAATAATTTCTTTTAATTATTTATGTACCAATACATAGACAAAGACTATTAAATAAACAGAGAATATTCAAATAAAAATACTTTTTCTAAGTGTTCTATCTTTGTTTAATAATTATAACAAATAAAATACTTCATAACGCGATCCCCTTATCCCAACCCTCGATTTTCCGACCCGGGAGGAGACATTACGCGAATGCACGTCGACTTCTCAACGTGATTACACTGTTCTTACTGCTGGTAACCAACTCATTACTCCACAACCACAAACCGAGCAGTTATCTTTGAAGGGGAAGAAAAATAAACGAGAACTCATCTCTTGAGCTGGGTTGTCAGTAACGAGACAAGTTGACCAGTGCAACGTGGAAGGTTTGAATAAGATGGAAAAGAAAAAGTAATACCTACCGCAATTAATGGCACAGCCCTGAGTAGCCCTAATAACCGCTCACGCGATACATGCAGCCGTAGACGCATACCACACCTAGAGGTGCCGGTGATGATTTTATACCGATTTATTGGATATCGAAGTTATAACAGGTAAAAGAACTAATATTAATTGCTATTTCGGTAACTACTCTAGCAAACCATAAAGTTTTTAATGCCCGGGTCTGTCATTTAAAAAAATAAACAACTTCAAAAATACGTCACGACAATCGTGTGTGTTATTGTTTGGGCTGGTGATTTCGGTGTTTATTTATTGAAAACATACCGTAAGTAGCGTTTTTTAAGTTTACCCTGAATATAAATGTTTATAAACTATACTTTAAGAAGTAATTTCATGGTAAACGTTAGAACCACTCAAACGGAATATTATCATATTTATCCAAGTACACCAAAAATTTCATTAGTGCTTTTTAAGTGCAGGATTTGTAGTGTATTACCGCATTTTATTTGAGATGTTTTTGTTGGTAATTAGAAAATAATTTGCGAAACCAAATAGCCGCCATTTTGCGATAGGAGGAGCGCATCGCGTGAGCGGTTAGTCTACTGCGTCCAGCGATACCGCTAACGTTGTGACGTGACACGTCTTCATTACTCTACAGTCTGCAGATACTGTGGAGTATATACAAGGGAAAACCAGTCACCCGCGCGGTTAGGGTCCCACTTCACTGTGAATTTTAATTCATTTATGGTGAACCACCAACTGAACACCTGTCGATCTTCATGAATTCACGGATTATTGGCCGAAGGGTATCATGTACCTACGTTTCCGAGCTGATTACCGGATACCCTCGTTGCGTCACACGTCGCAGATCATACGTGTAAATAATTGTGTTTAATTATATTTTATTATACTGTTATATTATTGTTTGTTTCTATAATGTATGTATTTATGAAATAAATGAAAAATTACTAAAGTTTCATTAGTGTGTCAATTTTGTTCAATGTTTCCTTAATCAAGTTTACATTATTTATTTCAATTCTACGAAATGTGACTTCAAAATTTTTTAATAAATTTACCGCACATGAGTCAATTGTTAAATACATTTTCAAGTTATTGGATGTCACGATGTTTGATACCATGGTATTTAATTATTTTTATGAAATTACTCTACTAGTTTGTTAAAATTATTAATACGAAGATCGAACACTTAGAAAAAAATCCTTTGATCCGGCTGGATACCAACCAACGTCTTCTGTACCTTTACAACTACCAGCAGCTGCTGGAGACGTCGCTTTAATTTTTAAATTATCGAATGTCACGATGTTTGGACGAAAGGTGTCGCGACCAGTTACCTGACAACAGATTGCACCACACGTCGCCGACAAGGGCAATTAGTGTAGATTAGTTATTTAGTTTTTTTTACATATTGCATTACATGGGTGTTAGTCTTTAAGCTATATATTATGTATATAGTTGCTTGATTCAAATGAATAAATAAATGAAAAATAGCGCAGCGCAGCCTTGTTATAAACGCTATTCTGTTCTCTATAATAATAATTATAATATAAAATAATAATTACCTTTAGTCACTAATAGAAAGTGGTGCCAGATTTTTGACAACTGTTTGTAGGGTATTGCGTTTTTAGTATTACTTATGCTCACTGCTCTACAACAACAAACTGTACCAACATTTAACGTAAATGAATTCGGGTTCAAGCGGTACAAGTTTAATGTCATCTCTCGAGGTGCAACTGAACCCGGAACTGGATGTGACTCGTCATGCAACATTTGAATGAGCCCATTCGGGTTCCGTTGCAACTTTAAACTGACCCCGGGTACAAATGCTACAAAAAAAGCATGCCAAATATATTTGTCAATCCTTCTACATGAGTGTTCTGTGGGTCAACTATACGCAGAAGGCACTGGGCGCCCTGTGCGTTCAATATAGTAACGGTTTCAGGATGCTGTTAGGACTACCGCGACATTGTAGCGCATCGTCGATATTTGCTCAAGCAGGAGTAGACGACTTTTTCGCTGTGATGCGAAAAGAGACAGCGTCGCTACTCTTTAGACTGCGTTCTTGTCCAAACAGCATCCCGAAAACGTTTCGTCATTTCATCCAGGTTCTGGTGAGGTGATGGGGTAGTCTCTGTATTTACTGACAATAGTCATAAGTATAAAAATGTCTGTATTTACTAACAAGTGGGCCTTGATTGCCAAAAAGATGATTAATTTATTATTAATACTACTAGATAATGGAGTAGGTATTCTTCTTATCGTGTCGATGCATGGGGTATACACTATAATGCTTGCCATCGTGGTGAAAGGATGTCTATCGATGTAAGGTACTCGCCGTCTGTTGCCCAGGGTGCGCTAGACGTACCTACCTATAGGGAAAGGAAGTCGTGCTCTTTGTCTCCAAAATAAAAACAAATTTTCAAATTAAGATCAATGCGTTTGATAATTATGACAACAATCTATACCTGTCAATTGTCACTACATTTATAAGGTCAGTATCTTTACAACAGGAGTGGAGACAAAAGGATTCACGAATCCTAATAGTTCCGCCCATGTAAATAAAAATCCTATGGACTCGCTAGTGGAACCAACAGTGGAACTAACCGTTTAAAAGGCTTTGTGTTTCCCAAGTAGAAAGTACAAAAGCTCAAAGGTGTTCTTCTGTAAGTGACAGTGCTGGTTTATTTAGATTCAGATTCATTTATTTCTCAAATATAATATTACAGTATAAATAGCACTAAATGTCAAAGTATAAGAAAGTATATTAAAATCGGTAAACAGAAATGAAAATTATAAGAAAAATACACAACAACTAGAAAATTAACAATTCATTAATATAATACTGTTGTCATTACATGACATATCAAATATCAATGATATTACAAGGAGAATGTCCATCAAGGATCATCATAAATTGATAATAAGTATACATAAATATGTCAATACGATAAAAATTAAAATAAAATAAAAAAATAGTTCACAGAGTATAAAGGATTTTCCAAGAAAAGGTCCTTTAGCTGGCGCCCAAATGTTTCCTCGGATAGTTAAAATCTGAGACCCTCATATTATACATTCGAAGCTAACGCGACATTATCGTTTGCCTCTGATCACAGAAACCAGCTGTATTGCAACTGACCTGTACGCCCTTTATTGTTGTTCGAAATAACACATAACATCACGGCAATTCAAAGCTCCTGAACTTGCGGTCTACTCTCGCCATTAACGTAACTTATATTAGAATTCAAGGAACTGACATTCCAGACGTCATTTCAGTAGATAACAGTCAATGTAAGAGTACCACTCCCGGCGTTAGAGCGACGTTGCTTTAGATAAGACATGTAAGTAATTAGAGATGTCGTATAGCAAATGGGTAATTAAACTACTTTTTTGTGTCAATTAAATTTTTATTGAATTGATATTCAATTATTTTTTGTGAAATTACTCCACTAGTTTGTTATAATTATTAATACAAAGATCGAACGCTCAGAAAAAATTCTTTCGATCCGGTCGGATTCGAACCGACGTTTTCTTGCATACCGTGGCAGACGCTATA